GCGGGCGGGGATGTGGACAGCGCACGGGGGGGGGGGGGGGGGGGAGTCACAGCTTAAGCAAACACGAGACCAGCGGGGGGCAGACACCTGAGGGAACCCCAGATTCTCAGGTTATGGACCAGTGGCAGAGAGAGGGGAGCTGGCATCAAACAAGGGACCTGACTGGCAGGATATGGACTCGGGGAAGGGAGAGGGGAGGATATGGACTCGGGGGAGGGAGAGGGGAGCTGATTGACAGGGTATGGCCTTGGGGGAGGGAGAGGGGAAGACCAGCGGGGGGCAGACACCTGAGGGAACCCCAGATTCTCAGGTTATGGACCAGTGGCAGAGAGAGGGGAGCTGGCATCAAACAAGGGACCTGACTGGCAGGATATGGACTCGGGGAAGGGAGAGGGGAGGATATGGACTCGGGGGAGGGAGAGGGGAGCTGATTGACAGGGTATGGCCTTGGGGGAGGGAGAGGGGAGCTGATTGGCAGGGTAAGGACTGGGGGGAGGGAGAGGGAAGCTGACTGGCAGGGTAAGGACTGGGGGAGGGAGAGGGGAGCTGATTGGCAGGGTAAGGACTGGGGGGAGGGAGAGGGAAGCTGACTGGCAGGGTAAGGACTGGGGGAGGGAGAGGGGAGCTGATTGGCAGGGTAAGGACTGGGGGGAGGGAGAGGGAAGCTGACTGGCAGGGTAAGGACTGGGGGAGGGAGAGGGGAGCTGATTGGCAGGGTAAGGACTGGGGGGAGGGAGAGGGAAGCTGACTGGCAGGGTAAGGACTGGGGGAGGGAGAGGGGAGCTGATTGGCAGGGTAAGGACTGGGGGGAGGGAGAGGGAAGCTGACTGGCAGGGTAAGGACTGGGGGAGGGAGAGGGGAGCTGATTGGCAGGGTAAGGACTGGGGGGAGGGAGAGGGAAGCTGACTGGCAGGGTAAGGACTGGGGGAGGGAGAGGGGAGCTGATTGGCTGGATATGGACTGGGGGAGGGAGAGGGGAGGATATGGACTGGGAAAGGAAGAGGGGAGCTGACTGGCAGGGTAAGGGCTGGGGGGAGGGAGAGGGGAGCTGACTGGCAGGGTAAGGACTGGGGGGAGGGAGAGGGGAGCTGACTGGCAGGGTAAGGACTGGGGGGAAGGAGAGGGGAGCTGATTGGCTGGATATGGACTGGGGGAGGGAGAGAGGAGCTGACTGGCAGGGTAAGGACTGGGGGAGGGAGAGGGGAGCTGATTGGC